GAAAAAAATTTATAATATCACACCAACAGTCAACAACAGAGGGAGAGGGAAGCTTCAGAAGGTTTTGGAGGTTTTTTAGCGTATTTCGCGGTCGCGTCCGCCATTAACGAATCGATTCGTTATTGTTTCGGAAATCGATTCGTTAATTTTACCATTTACGAAATTTCGTAAATATCGAACTTTTTAAAAGGAAAATTTTGTAATTATTTTAAATATCGAAACAAAAAACCCCCCCAAATACAAATCGATTTTAGAAACAAATTTTTCCGTTGTTACCCAGGCCTAATAGATATATATAAATAGTATATCATAGATTTGAAAGGGACCCCTAAAGAAGGTCAATGCTATGTTGCATGTTCCAGAGTAGGCAAACCAGACAACCTCCACATCAACAATGACAAAGAAACAGCAAGAAATACTGTTTACCCACAAGCATAAAGAAATTACATATATTAGAAATCAACACTTTCTCATTACTTTATTTTCCAGATCACCAGACTGGGCCACAGCAACGCCTGGCAGGGGATGGCTAGTCAATACATACAAAGTAAACAACATAAACATAAAATTAACAAGACAATGTACGCATTAAAAAATCACAATGGCACATATATATTTAAAATAATCCTGCCTGTTCAAGGTAATTTAAAAGGTCGGGCCAAGGCTAGTGCAATTTGTAGAGGGCGCAGGAAATTAGGTGCAATGCCATAACAGGTAATAGGTAAAGTCTATGGATGTTCATTTCCAGGGCCTAATAGGAGGAAGTTACCTGGGTAATTGGTAAAAAAAAGATATGGCCAATTTCAACAGTATCTGGAGCTGAGCTAGAACTAGTCATTCTCAAAGGTCTGTATAAACTTACGAAAGGAGGGGAGGAATGGGGCCTGTCTTATTTCTCTAGGAAGGGCATTCCAGAGGCGGGGGGCCACCACCAAGAAGCAAAAGAAATTCAGCAGGATGATAATCCACTACTTATGACTCTCTATCTTGGTGCCCACTTAATGCTGTGGAATCCTGAAATTTGTAGTTTGGTGACACACCAGCACTCTTTGGCAGATCTTGTAATACTACAGCTCCCATATTTATTTATTTATTGTGTCAGGAGCAAACCAAACAGTTGTATTGCATTTTTAACAAACAAACAAAACACAAAGTTTGCAAAAGTTGGGTAGTTGATTAAATGTCCTTTGACCAGTATCTGGCCACTTGGAGTGCCTCTGGTGTTGCGCAAAGAAGGTCCTCCATTGTGCATGTGGCAGGGCTCAGGTTGCATTGCAGCAGGTGGTCAGTGGTTTGCTCTTCTCCACACTCGCATGTCGTGGATTCCACTTTGTGGCCCCATTTCTTAAGGGTGGCTCTGCATCTCGTGGTGCCAGAGCGCAGTCTGTTCAGCGCCTTCCAAGTCGCCCAGTTTCTGTGTGCCCAGGGGGGAAGTCTCTCATTTGGTACCAGCCATTGATTGAGGTTCTGGGTTTGAGCCTGCCACTTTTGGACTCTCGCTTGCTGAGGTGTTCCAGCGAGTGTCTCTGTAGATCTTAGAAAACTATTTCTTGATTTAAGTTGACGTGCTGGCTGATACCCAAACAGGGGATGAGCTGGGGATGTCTCTGCCTTGGTCCTTTCACTATTGGCTGCTTCTTCCTGGCGGATGTCAGGTGGTGCAATACCATGTAATTTCTCCAGTGGTGTAGGACGCAGACACCCCCTGATAATGCGGCATGTCTCATTAAGAGCCACATCTACTGTTTTAGCGTGGTGAGATGTGTTCCACACTGAGCATGCATACTCAGCAGCAGAGTAGCATAGCGCAAGGGCAGATGTCTTCACTGTGTCTGGTTGTGATCCCCAGGTTGTGCCAGTCAGCTTTCGTATGATATTGTTTCTAGCGCCCACTTTTTGCTTGATGTTCAGGCAGTGCTTCTTGTAGGTCAGAGCACGGTCCAGAGTGACTCCCAGGTATTTGGGTGTGCTGCAATGCTCCAGTGGGATTCCTTCCCAGGTAATCCTCAGAGCTCGGGATGCTTGTCGGTTCTTAAGGTGAAAGGCACATGTCTGTGTTTTAGATGGATTAGGGATCAGTTGGTTTTCCCTGTAGAGGGACCCTGAGACCCCACCAAAGAGGGATTGCTACTTTGGTGAGCTAGAGAAGCCTGATTTCAGCAATTTTATTAAAATAAAATAATTCAAAATAAATCTCACCAAAGTTGAAGAAGTGGCACTGAGGTGTTTTTATTAGCAATTCAGCTGAAAAGGATGCAATGTAGCAATCATTCGCCTACAGAGCATACCAGTACAGAGATCAGAGACATTTTTATAGGGTTTACAGGTTTAGAAGTTTCAAAATTCCTGCCCTCCGCCCGGCATGCAGGTGATTGGCTGACGTGATAACAGCTGGGAGGAGGCTTGGTCGCCCGCCCTGCGTCAGAGCCAATCACAGAGCTCCTCTGCTGCGCAGGAACCAATGGGAGAGCTCCTACCGCCTCAGCGCTCTAGCGAATCAGGAGAAGGGAGGCGGGATGAGGATGAAACAATGGGCTGATGAATGGATTAATGGATTTCATGCCTTGGGGCCCGGAGCCCGAGAAATCCGGTCTGCGACGGATGCCCAGCCTATTGTCTTTAAATGGATCTGTGATAAGCGTTGATTGCTTCATCCAGGTCTTCCTGTCACCATCAGATAGGACACAATGAAGAGACTGGGGTGAATGTTTGTTGTGGCAAGTTTTGAAAGGAGGAACAGTTTCGGGGGAAAAGACCTTTCGAGGTCTTTTCCCGTTCAGCAGTGGAACTCTCTGCCCCAGAGTGTGGTGGAGGCTCCTTCTTTGGAAGCTTTTAAACAGAGGCTGGATGGCCATCTGTCAGGGGTGATTTGAATGCAATATTCCTACTTCTTGGCAGGGGGTTGGACTGGATGGCCCATGAGGTCTCTTCCAACTCTTTGATTCTATGATTCTATGATTCTATGAGGGTTGACGCCCTCCAGGGTGATGTGATCAAAGGTGCCAAGCGAAACCTTTTCATTGAGCGGACCAGCTCCGAGGCTCAACTTGAGGTTTCCAATTCTATGTTTTCCATGCACGAGTTATCATGATAAGAGTTCTTTGTGATTGCTAATTGTCCTTTCAACACAACTGGCAGCTTCTTTGATGAGTTTCCCCCCAAAGGGAGGGGAAGGGGCGATGGGTTGGGTGCCAGGGCAAAAATAAGGAAAAATACATGGGGAAATATAGGAATCCAAAGAAATTCATATCAAGCATCCCTTCCCACCCCCTGCCCGCCAGAGAAATTGATTAAAATAATAATTTTCAGAAAAACATGTGTCCATAGTTCATAATGGGAAGAGTTCATAAATGTGTGTGTCCTTGGAAGGTCAAGGGAAGGCCACTAGCACAAAGGAAAATATATATAGGGTTGATGTTGCAGGAACCATATGCTTATAATTCATAACAGGAAAGGTCCATATAGAAGTATGTTTTTGAAAGGGAAACAAAAGGGTTCATGGGGAATGATTAAAAGCATGAAATTCATGAGGAAAGGTCCAAAAGATTTCACTGAGCCAGTCAAGGGAGTCCTGCAGCGTTGAGGTTGAGACTTGTCCTTGGCCCTTGGAAAACTGTAACTCTTTCCAAGGGCTGGAGCCCAGGGACCAATCTGCTCCCTGAAAGCCTCCTGGGGTCCTTGCTGTTGTGAGTGTCTTGACCTTCCTAATGCCATGACCCCTTAATACAATCCCTCATGTTGTGGTGACCCCCAACCATAATATTGTTTTCGTTGCTACTTCGTAACAGTCATTTTATTACTGTTATAAATCATAATGTAAATATCTGATATGCGGGATGCATTTTCATTCACTGGACCAAACTGGGCACAAATACCCAATACACCCAAATGTGAATGCTAGTGGGGTTGGGGGAGGATTGATTTTGTAATTTGGGAGTTGTAGTTGCTGGGATTTATAGTTCACTTATAATCAAAGAGCATTCTGAACTCCACCAGCGATGGATTTGAACCAAACTTGGCTCCCATGACCAATGGAAAACACTGGAAGGGTTTGATGGGCATTGACCTTGAGTTTGGGAGTTGTAGTTCACCTACATCCAGAGAGCACTGTGGACTCATGCAATGGTGGATCTGGACCAAACTTGGCACAAATACTCAATATGCCCAAATGTGAACACTGGTGGAGTCTGGGGAAAGTAGATCTTGACATTTGGGAGTTGTAGTTGCTGGGATTTATAGTTCATTACAATCAAAGAACATTCTGAACTCCACCAACGATAGAATTGGCTCAAACTTCCCACATGGAATCCCCATGACCATCAGAAAATACTGTGTTTTCTGATGGTCTTTGGCGACCCCTCTGACACCCCTTCGCGACCCCCTCAGGGGTCCCGACCCCCAGGTTGAGAAACACTGTTATAGGGTTTTGTAGGTTAAAACAAGCACTTTGAATTGTGCTTAGCCCTTTACAGAACTATAAGTTACTATCCCTTATTGGGGGGGGGGGGGCTAGAGCTCCCATGATCTCATTGCACTGGCCATGACAGTTAAAATGGTGTCAAGCTGCCTTAATTCTACAGTGTAGATGTACCATAAGACACCCATTCCTTGCCTGCTTCACATACTGTGTTTTTTTGAGATTCTTCCCATTTGTGTGAAACCATTGTAGTCACACAGCAGAATACATTTCTCAGTGTTTAGCAAATGAGAACACCTTAGAACTGGGAACTGGATTAAAAGAACATGAGGAAGTTGGCTTGTATGTAAGTCACTTTTGAAATAATGGCAGTCGGAGTTCAGGCTAGTAATGCCCCTTACATCTGGGATAGTGTATCTGAGGCAGAAATCAATCTTTGCAGTGCTTAAAGGTATAGATATTCCTCGCTGAAAGAAGCTCAAAGGTCTATTTATATTTCCAATATCTTGCACATTCATATTTAATAGAAAGCAATGGCACTTCAAAAATCACATCTATTCATTAATGCTTTGTTCTTACAGAGGGAGTGGAGCAGAAAGGCCAGTCTCCATCACCCGTGAAATGCAAAGCAAAGCAATCCCAGGACCTGGAAGACGATAATGAGGGTAGGTGGGATTCAGCCTCCTTGGAGTCATTTATCAGTTTTTCATTACCCCAAGATACGTTTCCCTTTAATTTTGAAATTATACAGTCTACAGTCCATTTATTTTTAAACGATTCCTCATGTCTATATTTACAATGCAATTTCTCCATCCCTCTCTGGTGTAGTTTGGCCCTAGGTTATGCAAGCGAAGCAAGTTTGCTTTTATCTTTCCCATGCATAATTTTGTCTCTAAATTGTATAATAGGGGTGTATTTTCTAGCAGGATTGAGATAACAATTGTTTGAATGGCCAGATGATGTTTTATGTTTAGTGGGGTTTTACAAAGCAAAATGTATGGCTTTTTAAGTTGTGTGACCTGAAAACCAGCGACATGTTAAATGATATTCAACATAATTCCAAAACAGAATTATTACTTCTTGCTTTGTGGCTACAGCTAGACTTTAATAAGGACTAATATATTGTGATGGAGCCCCCGGTGGCGCAGTGGGTTAAAGCACTGAGCTGCTGAGCTTGTTGATCGAAAGGTCGCAGGTTCGATTCCGGGGAGCGGCGTGAGCTTCCGCTGTCAGCCCTAGCTTCTGCCAACCTAGCAGTTCGAAAACATGCAAATGTGAGTAGACAATAGGTACCGCTCCGGCGGGAAGGTAACGGCGCTCCATGCAGTCATGCCGGCCACATGACCTTGGAGGTGTCTACGGACAACGCTGGCTCTTAGAAATGGAGATGAGCACCACACCCCAGAGTCAGACATGACTGGACTTAATGTTACCTATGGCCCATTTAGACTAGCCATTCAAAACTAGCTTCAAAGAAAACCAAAGTGTAGACCCTTAATACAGTTCCTCATGTTGTGGTGACCCAACCATAAATTATTTTTGCTACTTCATAACTGTAATTTTGCTACTGTTATGAATCGTGATGTAAATATCTGATATGCAGGATGTATTTTACCCACATTTGAATAGTAGTGGGGTTGGGGGGGGGGGATTGATTTTGTCATTTGGGTGATGTAGTTGCTAAAATTAAATTATAAATTAATATATAAATAAAATTATTTTGTTGCTAATTCATAACTATAATTTTGCTACTGTTATGAATCGTGATGTAAATATCTGATATGCAGGATGTGCAAAAATACCCAATACACCCACATTTGAATAGTAGTGGGGTTGGGGGGGGGGGATTGATTTTGTCATTTGGGTGATGTAGTTGCTGGGACTTATAGTTCACCTACAATCAAAGAGCATTCTGAAATGCACCAATGATGGATTTGAACTGTGCCGTCGCGCCTGGGGGCTATTATTCTTAATAAAGGAGGGATGGACGTGGCATCTTTCCCCCAGGGGATTGCTTCTTGCCCTCCTATAGGAAACTGGAACTCTCAAAAACCCAAAACGCTGTAAATAACTCAAAATAAGTTTTATTGATCACAAAGAGTCATTTCTTTAAAGCAATAAGCTGGAAACTTCAGAGGGGTGAAGGAAAATATATGTTACAGTCTCAATTAGTCCTGGGTCCAAGGTGTTTGAAGCTGAGAAGCCTCACCAAGTTTCCTCTTTCCTCAATGGCTGTGAATGCCAGAGCAAACCACAACCCCAGTTCAGATGGCCTATGTTTGAAGACTCAGGATCTTCCTTTGGTGCCAAAAGAACCGGTTTGAAGGCGCTTGAGACTTCCAACGTCGTTCAGGTTGGTCTGAACATGAAGCACAAGTCTCAAGGGTAAAAAACCTCAGAACTGGTGCTAAGAGGTAATTTAAATCAGGGTCTTTTAGAGTCAAGTCTCTTACTCACGTCCATATGGTAGGAACTCTGATGGCAGAATGAAAAGAAAGGAAGCACTCCCCTCCTGCAGGAAGAGGTGGAGCCAAACAGTACTGATTGACAGCTATAAGTAACCAATCCATACAACTATACATAAGCAGGGTAAAAGGGCAGGATTAAGCATGATACAACAGTTTAAATCTTGCAACTAACAGTTCTATACATAGGTGGCGCCACTCGCGCCGTCACATGTCACAACACTGCAAACACACATTTTTAACAAATGTAATAAAACTGTTAATTTAAATTGACCATTTTCCACTCACCAGCCTACATCCAAAGAGCACTGTGGACTCAAACAATGATGGAGATGGACCAAATTTGGCATGGATACTCAATATGCCCAGATGTGAACACTGGTGGAGTTTGGAGAAAATAGACTTGACATTTGGGAGTTGTAGTTGCTGGGATTTATAGTTCACCTACAATCAAAGAAAATTCTGAACCCCACCAATGATAGAATTGGGCCAAACTTCCCACACAGAACCCCAATGACCAACAGAAAATACTGTGTTTCCTGATGGTCTTTGGCGACCCCTCTGAAAACTATTTCTTGATTTAAGTCATTGACGTGCTGGCTGATACCCAAACAAGGGATGAGCTGGAGATATCGCTGCCTTGGTCCTTTCACTATTGGCTGCTACTTCCCGGCAGATGTCAGGTGGCACAATATTGTGTAATTTCTCCAGTGGTGTAGGGCGCAGACACCCCGTGATAATGCGGCATGTCTCATTAAGAGCCACATCCACTGTTTTATCGTGGTGAGATGTGTTCCACACTGGGCATGCATACTCAGCAGCAGAGTAGCACAGCGCAAGGGCAGATGTCTTCACTGTGTCTGGTTGTGATCCCCAGGTTGTGCCAGTCAGCTTTCGTATGATATTGTTTCTAGCGCCCACTTTTTGCTTGATGTTCAGGCAGTGCTTCTTGTAGGTCAGAGCACGGTCCAGAGTGACTCCCAGGTATTTGGGTGCGCTGCAATGCTCCAGTGGGATTCCTTCCCAGTGATCCTCAGAGCTCGGGATGCTTGTCTGTTCTTAAAGTGAAAGGCGCATGTCTGTGTTTTAGATGGATTAGGGATCAGATGGTTTTCCCTGTAGTAGGCGGTAAGAGCACCTAGAGCTTCGGAGAGCTTCTGTTCAACCATCTCAAAGCTCCCTGCTTGAGCGGTAATGGCATGATCATCAGAAGCAACCAGAAGAGATACTGGCTGAAACTTCCTTAATGCAGAGATGTTATATGGGTCCATGTAAATGGGGTGACGAGCCTGCTCAGCACTTTAGCTGGAATGTACTGTCCAAAATGCTGAAATCTGTTTTGCAAATAAGGTAGCTCCTTTGATGTTTAGAGGAAAACCTAGAGTGCCATGGGGATACAACCCCCACTGTTTTGTTCATCTTTTGATCTTAATTTCTTTCTTAACTGGCAATGCTAAGCTGTAGTTTCAGAGCCTTCAGTTCACATAACTCTTGCACCCTTTTTAAAAATAAGGAAAATGAATAGTTGTTGTTGTTGCTGCTGCTGCTGCGGCTTCTTTATGGTAGGTAGAAGGAAGGGGCAGGAGAGAGAGCCTCCAATGAGCAGGCTTCTTTCTTTCTTTCAAAAAATATTTTGAAGGAAGTAATCAAATGGTCCAGAATGCCATATGACCTCCCCCCCCCCAAAAAAAAAAAAAAGGATAACAACAATAACAGTGAAGCAAAGTGAAGTGAAGAAAATGGGAGTGGTGTTTTCCACCCTTCCAGTTAACTGTCTAGTTTTGCATTAGAGGAGGAAGGATCTTAAGAAACGTCTTTGAAATACTCATGCTTTTCATTGGACAGCAGACATAGATGGCACTTTGGACATGGAATTAGATATGTAATTGACTGGAATGGTGATACGGCTATTAATACTGGATTTTTTTTACTGTTTTAATGAATGTTTTATTTATTATTTTCATAGTTATTATATTGCTCTGTTATATGTAGTGGCATCGAATTGTTGCCAAATGTAAGCCATCCTGAGTCTCCCTTCGAGGGTTGAGAAGGAACGGGATAGAAATACCGGAAATAAATAAATACTAAATAAATTTCATCTTGTTAAGTCTCCTATCCTCTGAGGCTCCTTCTACACTGCCATATAAAATCCAGAGTATCAAAGCAAATAATCCATGTTATGTGCTTTGAACTGTATTATGTGAGTCTACTTTGCCGTATAATCCAGTTCAAAGCAGATAATCTGGGTTTTATATGGCAGTAAAAAAGGAGCCATATACAAAAACATCTATTTCTGTTTTATTGACTATTCTAAAGCCTTTGACTGTGTGGATCATAATAAATTGTGGCAAGTTCTTGGTGGTATGGGCATACCAAATCCCCTTGTCTCTCTCCTGAGGGATCTGTATAAGGACAAAGTAGCAACAGTGGAACTGACCATGGAACAACAGACTGGTTCAAGATTGGGAAAGGCGTACGGCAGGGTTGTATACTCTCCTCCAACCTATTTAACTTGTATGCAGAACACATCATGCAATGTGTGGGGCTTGGGGTGAAAATTGCTGGAAGAAACATTAACAACCTTAGATATGCAGATGACACCACATTGATGGCCGAAAGTGAGGAGGAGCTGAGGAGCCTTCTAATCAAGGTGAAAGAAGAAAGCGCAAAATCTGGGTTGCAGCTAAACATTAAAAAAACCAAGATTATGGCAACAAGAATGATTGACAACTGGGAAATAGAGGGAGAAAACGTGGAGGCAGTGACAGACTTTGTATTTCTAGGTGCAAAGATTACTGCAGACGCAGATGGCAGCCAGGAAATCAGGAGACGCTTACTTCTTGGGAGGAGAGCAATGTCCAATCTCGATAAAATAGTGAAGAGAAGAGACATCACGGCAACAAAGATCCGCATAGTCAAAGCATGGTATTCCCTAGTAACCTACGGATGTGAGTGACCATAGGGAAGGCTGAGCGAAGGAAGAGAGATGCTTTTGAACTGTGGTGTTGGAGGAAAGTTCTGAGAGTGCCTTGGACTGCAGAAGATCCAACCAGTCCATACTTCAGGAAATAAAGCCTGACTGCTCATTGGAGGGAAGGATAGTAGAGGTCAAGATGAAGTACTTGGCCACATCATGAGAAGACAGGAAAGCTTAGAGAAGACAATGATGCTGGGGAAAATGGAAGGAAAAAGGAAGAGGG